ATGTGAATGTTCCAGGTGGCTGGCAGTGCCCAGGGGTGGTTGTGTGTTGCAGTAGTGGCCAGGAGCTGATGGCATCGGAGGGAACTGATCCCGCTGAGGTTGCAGCAATGTTTTATTGCTCACTATATTTCAGCCACAAGATCAAATAGAAGTCGGGGAAGACGGCTTTAAACAATGGGATGGTAAGAGCAGTGTTCCCTATAGGATGCAGTAATGTATATTCTTTTCCTAAATATTTCCTCTTTCATTATTAAAAGCTTTAACAGTAAATTTCTGTAACTGTAACTTTACCGAGCTCAATCTATTTTCTACTTTCGAGCCCGTGCTGTTTGATGGTGTTTGATGGTGTCCCTTTTTCCCACCCACCCCCTTTCTCCTGACTAGTGTTGGATTCCTTGGATATGGAGGCAATGGTGAGCACAGTGCGGGCCTGGATTGAGAACCCAGTGAAGTTTGCCCGTTCGCACGGGGTGAATGTCACACCTGGCTCTAGAGAGCCAAGCTCCCAAGATACCCATATATTGGTCATTGAAGGCTTCCTGCTTTATAATTACAAGTAAGGTTTGGAGAACTCTTCATGGTTTGCCAGGGAAGATCCTTAAATCCCCTCGTGCCAGAGCTAAAAATTCCTTTTTACTAATTTCCCCTTCCTGCCTTGTTCCAAATTCTCACCCCGGAGAGTTTCCTGCTGAAAAATGTAAAACTAACTCCTAAATGTAGAAGTGAGATGAATTTAAGATTCTTGGTTTAGGGCACAGCCGTGAACTCCAGGGGAGCTTCAGAGCAGGTTTTTTGCTGGCAGAGGGGTGCAGGCTTCCCCTCATCCCCTCAAGGCAATAATCCATTCACTGCCTGGAATCTCTCCTGGAATTTAGGAACTGTTCTCTGCTGTGCTTGCTTAACACTGAGCTTAGTGAGAGGAGCGAGCTGTGGCACAGACAGCTCCCTGGATCTTTGTGGAGGACCATGGAATCCCAGAATGGTTTGGAAGGGACCTTAAAGCCCATCCAGCTCCAAGCCCCGTCCAGCCTGGCCTTGGACACTTCCATGAACATGAGCTGAGGAGTTGCCCTGTCCCAGATTTTGCTGCAAACTGATTTTGGAATGATCTAGGAAGAACCAGCGTTCCCAGCCCAGTGCCTGATCCTCCACAGGATCCCCTCTGATCCCCCTCAGGACCAGTGGCAGGTGTTTGGGTGGGAAAAGTCCCTGCTTGGGCCATTCTGACATTCAGAAAGAAGCTTTCCATGGTTTTGAGTTAAAAACCCATGAGGGAAGCACTTACCCTTGGGTTGTCTTCAACAGACACAAATCCCATAGAGGCAGAGAGATTTTTGTGGTGGCTGGGGTGGTTTCATGCTTTTTCCTGTCATGAAAGTGAGATCTGCACGTTCTGTCCTTGTCCTCTGCCCAGACCCCTGATGGAGCTGTTCGACCTTCGCTACTACCTGGCGGTGCCCTACGACGAGTGCAAGAGGAGGAGGAGGTGAGAGCATTGCTGGGTGTGCATCCAGCCCTTCCCTCCCGGCCTTTCCACTGCTCTTAGTCACGGAATCATGGAATGCTTCAGTTGGAAGGGCCTCAGAGGTCACCTCATCCACCTTCCACCACGCCAGGCTGCTCCAGCCTGGCCTTGGACACTCCCAGGGACGGGCATCCGCAGGTTGTGGGGTGTGTTGGTGGCATCAACCTGATTAGAGTGGGAAATTTGACTGGAAGTGGAAGGAATTTGATGTGGTCAACTTGAGGTTGGAGAAGACCTCTGAGATGGAGTCCAGCCCTGAACCCCTCACCACTGACCACGTCCCCAAGTGCCACATCCCTCATTCCCAAACACAGGCGTGGAAACTCCACCACTGCCCTGGGCAGCCTGTGCCGATCCTTTACCATCCTTTCCGTGAGAATTTCTTTTCCTAAACCTCAGGAATGCCCTCCTGACGTTCCTTTTCCATGCTGTTATTCCCAGTACTCGGAGTTACACCGTGCCCGACCCCCCAGGCCTCTTTGACGGCCACGTCTGGCCCATGTACCTCAAACACAGGAAGCAGATGGAGGACGCTGGCGTGGATGTGGGTGAGTCTTCCCCAAACACAAATCCTTCGGCCTTGGGCTTGGAATTTAAGGAATTGGGTGATTTCATTCGAGGAAACTTCCGCTGTGATGACGCAGGGTGATATTTTTACTCCCAAGTTGTAATCCTGGCCTACTTTGGATAAATGCAGACAGTTTTAGCGCTAAGAACTTATTCCCCTTGCTTTGTACTTTTAAGGGCTCAGAGGGGACAAAAAAGTTACAAAGAATGGATTTATAATGGAATAAGGATTTCACAAGCCATTGTATTATCAGGATGGTTTTGTTTTTCTGATAGAAAAACAAGCTGTCCTTTGGGTCAATAAAATATGAAATATTTAAAAACTAATCTCCCAAAATGTTATCCTGATGGGAAGCCCAGCCTGACTCCCCCTTTCTTCTCCCAGTTTATTTAGACGGCCTGAAGTCCAGGGATGAACTCTACAACCAAGTTTTTGAAGATATTCACAACAAGCTCTTAAACTGCTCATAGGTGAGTAAAATCCAGAGGGTGGAACGCGAGGGGTTGTGCTGGGAACAGCTTGGATCTCACTCTTTTTCCCTTCCTCCTTTCCAGGGTCTGGGAAGATCCAGAAGATCCGTGTACAGCGCGATGTAAATAATACTTGGAAGTGGGAACGGGAGGTTTTTTGTGTGGACTCCTCTCCCACTGCCCTTTGGCAAGTCCCTTCTGTATATAATTGAAAACTGAGGATAAATTATTCCCACCACATGGACAGGATGGCCTCGGTGGGGTTTATTTTTTAATTATTTTATATTCCACTGGCTTACAGAGAAGTTTGAAACAGCATTTTTATAGCAGAACAAGTAGAGCTGGGCTGGGAAAACAAGAGAGCTCCTGCAGACAGAAAGGCTTCGTGCAAGGCTTGTTTGTAACATCACCAATTCAGTAAAAATCCACTTCAGTCTCCTTCTGAGGTCCTGATTTCATTCATCACTCAGCTTTTGTGCAATAAAATGGGTTTGAAGCTCATCCAAAACACAGCAGCAGCCCCTTTTTCCTGAAACTCCAGCCCTGGGTGGCTCCAAAGCTCCTTCCACATCTCACTGATGGGTTTGGGTGCTCACATAAGCCCCAGCCAGGGGGGAATGGCTCAGTTTGTGACTTTAAATCCATGAGATGAACTGGGGGGGTTTCTCGGGGAATGAGAAATGAAACTGTGCTTGCCTAGGAACCATCTCAGGCACTAAAGCTAAAACGCCACCCGAATTTCAGCTTGGGAGAGGGCAGTGCCATCCCTGAACGCGTGTGGAGCCTGCCCTACAACCCTGGGGTGAGCACTGGCAGCTCTCAGGCACTGAAATAACTCAGCTGGGGGGGTCCCTTCCCAAGATTTTGGGACCTGATTTAGACACAGTGTTCTGGAAAAGCAGCTGCTTTTAATTAATTAATTTTAGTTAATGAGTCACTCAAAAAACTGCCAAGGGGGGGCTTGCAGCAGCCAGAGGGGAGCCAGATCCATCTTGTGCTGGACCCATGGTTTTCTAGGGCAGAAAGCTCTGGCTGCTGGGGTCAGCCACCCTGCTCTGGGGACACCGTGCAGGGCAGGGACACCCTGGTTCCCACGGAGCATTCCCACAGCTCAGCTCCAGCAGGAACAGAATCCCGGGGGATGCAGCCCTGGTTTCCATGGGGCTTCCCCGTGCCTGTGTCAGTTTAAGCTGTGCGAAAGCCTTTGGGGTTTGTGAAGACTTATAAGGGAAAAGTTCTCGCTCCCACCTCCTGCCAAACTCTGGGAAGCAGAAATGGGAGCCTAAAAAAGGCATTTTGGTGTCTGTGCACAGAGAAGGAAACGCCACAGGGTGGGGGCAGCTCCAGCTGCAGAGAGGGGACGAGCAGAACATCCTGCTCACGTCACAGCGCTGGCAGCACAGCCCCTTGGTGCCCAACACGAGTTCCTGCGGGCCTCATGTGAAATCATGAATCACACCCCAAATTCTGCCTTTTTAGAGCTATCTTGGTGCCATTTCGTGCATCCACGTGAGAAATCCCCTGCTGCTCTGGGGCCGGGGTGAATGACCAGTGACTTCCAAGAGTTTTTTGGGAGTGTGAAACCCAAACCCTGGGCAGGAAGAGAATCCAGGAAAGGTTTCTCACTATGTGACCTTTGCCTGGCTTGGGAACAGCCGGGACTATAGGATTTCCATACATCCTTTCACCCACTGCCTCTGCCGACAGAGCTACGCCCAAATCTGCACACAGAGCCTGCATGGGGCACCCTGAGGTGCCCCAGGTGTCCCCTCACGTGGCCAGAGCCCGTGGCCGTGCTGGACACCGGGACAGCCCCGGCCACGCCACCTCCCGTGGGAGCCAAGTGCCTTGGCAGGGAGCACCAGGGCAGATTAAATTATCAGCGTGTCCCTCGCATGGGGGTGGGTGAAACCTACACCTGCTGGAACGTCAGCAGGGACAGGGACACGGGGCACAGCCCCTCGGCCCCCCTGGTCCACAGGGGCCACAGAAGAGTGACAAATCCTAAAGGGAGCAAATCCCCTGGGGCCAGAGCGGAGCTGGAGGTGAACCATCCTGGCCAGCCAGGGGGCTGGCTGCCATCCCCTGGCATTTGGCTGGTGATTCCCCCGGCTCAAATTCAGCTGGATCTTGGCTCCAGGGGCCACAGGCAGTCGGAAAAAGCCCGTGGTGCTCCCAGGGGAAAGGAGCTCCCTGCTCTGGTGTTCTCCAGAATGTGGCGCTTTGGGACCTGGCTCCCCTGTCCCCGGGAGTGAGGGATCTCGGGCAAGAGGAGCTGGGGGCTCCCCCAGCCTGGGAACACCCCACAAACCATCCCCAGAACTCCCTCCATGCCCACAGCGAGGATGGGAGCACCGCAGGGGAATTGTCACCACGGGGCACATCCTCATCCCCCTCCCAACCCCTGTCCCACCGCGGCAGGAGCTGAGGCAGCCGCCCCGCTACACAGAAACCTTTATTCTGAGAAGAGGGGAGCCAGGGCTGGGGCAGGGGGACACGGGCTGCAGCCCCCCGGGGGAATGTGGGGCGCAGGGGCCTCCCGGGGGGCTGCGGAGTGCGAGGCCACGCAGGGATCAGTCCTTGGTCCCAGCCCATGCGTGGCTGCAGCTGCAGTGCAGAGGGGGGCTCTGCCCACCAACCCCCCCACGGGGCACTGGGGCAGCTCGGGGACCGGGGTGAGGGGGGACGAACGTCCCGGAGCGCGGCGGCGGTGACGGGAGCGCGGGGACACGAGCCAGGCAGGAGCTGCACGCAGGAAGCCAAACCCGGGGTGGCACGGCCCCAGCCCCCGAGGTGGGGGGACAAGCACCCCCTGCACACCGGGGGACGCTGCCCGGGGCCGAGCAGGGGGAGCAGCGCAGCCCCCGGGGCCGGCCGGGTTAGCGGATGCTGCCGTCGCCCTCGCTGCTCTGCAGCTTCTCCCGCTCGATGGACCACACCAGCTCCTGCACAAACTTCATCTCGGAGGCCACCTGCTTGGCCAGGGCCTCGTAGTGGTTCTCCAGCTTGCGGTAGCGCCGCTTGAGCCCGTTGGCCGCCTGCACCACGCTCTTGGTCTCCTCCTGCGCCTGCTTCTTCAGCGCCTCCGTCTTCTGCAGCTCCTGCCGGATCTGCCGCAGGTCCTGGCTGATGCTCTCGTTCTCCTCTTTGTACCACGACTCCTTCTCCTCGTAGATGGACAGCAGCGCCTCGATGTCCTCCTGGAAGGACTTCTTGTTCCTCTCCAGCTCTCGGAGGCTCTCCTCGGCCGCAGCCACCTCCTCCATGACCTTGGAGAAGCGCTCGAAGTTGATGTAGGTGTTGTTGGGGGGCATGCTGGAGTGGGATTTGATGGTGTACTCCTTCAGGCGCGTGGTCTTCAGCCGGCGCCGCTCGGGCTTCTTGCAGCTGTCCTCGTTGCGGACGTTCCTCCTCTTGATCACCTGTGGCAGGGACAGTTGTGGCTGCAGCACCCACCCCCAGGCAGGGACACCCAACCAGCCCCCACCGGGGTGGGGGAGCAGCAGGGCCCCAGCCTCGGGGGGTCAGGCACCCAAAAAGTGCCGATTCTTTAACTTCTCACCTTAATCCAAGGGTGCTCCAGGCTCTGGGCGATGGTCATTCGCTTCCTGCAAGCACAGCAAGGCTGGGATCAGGGCAGAGGCTTTGCTCCTCTTTCCCTGTTAAAGCCTGGAAAAGCAGCTTGGATCCTGTGACTGCCTTTGGGGTCTGGCTGAGCCCTGCTGCATCCAGCCCCAACCCCTCAAACTGCCTCCCAGGAGAAACACAGGCAGAGGATCCCGTGGGAACCTCCTGACCCCACTGCTCCTTCCCAAACCCTCCCAAACCCCAGTGCAGCTACTGCAGCCTCAGGGTGATCCCAGAATCACCCCAGCCTGGTGCAGGCAGGAGAGAGGGAGCTGCCTGTATGCAGCAGGCTGGGCAGGGGGGACTGTCCCCTCTCCCAGAGGAAGCCCCAGCTCTGCCCCCTGTCCCTCCTCACTTGGGGTCCTTGACGAGCAGGCGGCGGATGAAGTCCTTGGCCAGCTCGCTGGTGTTGCTGAAATATTCCTCATCGAAGTCGTAGTTGACAGCAGAGATGTTGGTCAGTGTCTCCTGCTTGGTCTCCCCCAGGAACGGGGAGGCTCCGCTCAGCCTGAGGAGAGAGTGGGTTGGGACACCCCAAAAAGGCTCCAGCCCGAGGTGGGGGGCTCATCCTGCAGCCCTCAGCCCCCAGAGCTGCCTCATACTCACAGGATGTAGGTGATGACCCCGATGCTCCTGGAAGAGAGAGGGACAGGAGGTTGAAGTCACGAGGGGACTGGCTGCTGGAGCCATGGGAAGGGGCTCAAGCGGGGAATCACTCACCACATGTCGGCCTCCAGCCCCAGGGGCTCATAGTTCACAATTTCGGGGGCTTTAGGAGGAAAGGGGAGAAAATGGGTTCATTGTGGGGGAAGGAAGCCTGGCCCCATGGACACATCCTGGCAGCAGCACCCGAGTGCTGGGTGTCTCTCCAGGATTAATCCAAAGCTTTCAGTACCCTGAGGAATGCTCACCTACAAACTCTGGGGTCCCAAAGATATTCTTGAACTCATTCCCAGCCTCGATCTTGTGGGCGATCCCAAAGTCGATGAGTTTGATGCGAGGGTTTGGCACGTTCTTGTCCAGCAGCATGATGTTCTCTGGCTGTGGGGGGAGAGGAGCTGGCTCTGTCCCTGCACCAGCCTGGGGAGCTGCCCTGGGCTCCTCATTCCAGGGGAGAGGGCGAGTGCCTCGAGCTGGGAGAGATCTCAAGCACCAGCCCCACGGCACTGCAGGAGTGCACTGAACCCCGCTCCCCAGTGCTGACTTCCAGAGCCCACCTGAGGGCTCATCCCTGCTCCCAGAGCCCACCTGGGAGTTTATCCGTGTTCCCAGTGGGGTGTCTGCAGCTCCCAGAGCCCACCTGGGAGTTAATCCCTGCTCCCAGTGGGGTGTCTGCAGCTCCCAGAGCCCATTTGGGGGCTCATCCCTGCTCCCAGAGCCCACCTGGGAGTTTATCCGTGTTCCCAGTGGGGTGCCTGCAGCTCCCAGAGCCCACCTGGGAGTTTATCCCTGCTCCAGTGGGGTGCCTGCAGCTCCCAGAGCCCACCTGGGAGTTTATCCCTGCTCCAGTGAGGTGCCTGCAGCTCCTAGAGCCCACCTGGGAGTTAATCCCTGCTCCCAGTAGGGTGCCTGCAGCTCCCAGAGCCCACCTGGGAGTCAATCCCTGCTCCCAGAGCTGAACACAGGGTATCTGCAGCTCCCCGAGCCCACCTGGGAGTCAATCCCTGCTCCCAGAGCTGAACACAGGGTATCTGCAGCTCCCCGAGCCCACCTGGGAGTCAATCCCTGCTCCCAGAGCTGAACACAGGGTATCTGCAGCTCCCCGAGCCCACCTGGGAGTCAATCCCTGCTCCCAGAGCTGAACACAGGGTATCTGCAGCTCCCCGAGCCCACCTTCAAGTCGAAGTGGGCGATGCGCTTGGAGTGCAGGTAGTGCACGCCGTCCAGGATCTGCTTGAGGAACTGGGTGGCCTCCTCCTCGGTCAGGGACTCCTTCTCGGCCAGGAAGTCGAAGAGCTCCCCGCCGGACACCAGCTCCAGGATGAGCACCACGTCGGTCTTGTTCTCGAAGATGTCGTGCAGGGTGATGATGTTGGGGTGCTGGATCTCGCGCAGGATGTCCACCTCGCGCTCGATCTCCTCGCGGCTCACGCCCCGGCGGCTGGACGACAGCCGCCGCTTCTTGATGAACTTGGCCGCGTACTCCAGGCCCGTCTTCCTCTCCCGGCACTTGCGGACGATGGCGAACTGCCCGCTGTGGGGACAGGAGACGAGGAGGAGGAGGAGGGAGAGGAAGATTGGAGGAGTATTGTAAGTGCAGGTGAACCCAGTGGGCAGAAATGACAATGTCTGACTCCAGAAGGCTGAATGATTTCTTTATTATAACTGTACTATAATACATTAATATACTATTCAAAGGAGCAACTCCTGAAAGTTCCTCTGCTTTGAAAAAAAAACCCACTTAGGTGACCCAAAACGGCTTTGCTGCCCAAACGCCCGAGAAGGAGCCACTGCGTGGGGCTGGCACAGGCGAGGCAGCTCCCCCACCGCCGCCTCTGCATCCCGGCGGATTAAATCCCATCTGCGGGCTCTGAGTCACCCTGGATCCCTCCCACAGGCGCCGGGCCAGCTCAGGCACCGAGGAAGGCCGGAAGCCGCCAGCCCCGGACGGGAGCTGCACCGGGAGCAGCGTTAATTAACGCTTTTTTAAATCTCTATCTGCTAGAGCTGCCTGGCTCTGCACAGCCTTGGGAAGCCGCCGAAGGCAGCGGGATGTCCCTCACCTGCCCAGCTCCTCGCCCATCTCATAGAAGTCCTCCACGCTCTCCTGGCGGAAGGTGGACATGGCTGCGGGGCGTCTGCAGCCAGCGCTGGGCGTCGGGAGCGGGGAGCAGCCGCGGGGATCAGCGCCTGTGGCACCGGGAAAACGGGGGGCTGTGTCCCGGGAGCTCACTCAGGGGAAAGGGAAGGGAAGGGAAGGGAAGGGAAGGGAAGGGAAGGGAAGGGAAGGGAAGGGAAGGGAAGGGAAGGGAAGGGAAGGGAAGGGAAGGGAACCACAGCCTCTCCCTGCTCTACAGCCCCCATACCCGCCATCCTCCCAGTCCTCCCCATCCCTTTCCTGGCCCTCTTCCCCTCCTACCCCAACCCTGCGCTGACCCTCCCTGCCCCACAGCCCCCCCCAAAAGCCCCCCAGGCCCCACACCCACTCTGCTCCCAATCCCTTTCCTGCCCCACAGCCCTCCCCACTCCAATCCCTCTCACACCCACAGCACCCCAGTCCCTCCCCATCCCTTCCCTTCTCCACATCCCCCCACCCCAATCCCGATCCCACAGGCCCCACAACCCCCAACCCTCCCCACAGCCCCCCCATTCCTCCCTTCTCCACCCCACCCCACAGGCCTCAGCCCCCCCCACACCCCTCCCCGCCCCATCGCTCCCTCCCCAGCGCACCCAGCCGCCCTCCCTCACCCCTCCGGGACCCGCAGAGCCCCTCACCTCCCCGCCCGGCCCCACATCTCCCCTCACAGCCCCTCACGGGCACCGGCCCCTTCCCAACCTGGGCCGCCGCCGCCGCCGCCACATTCCACCACAGCAGGCCCCGCCCCTCCGCCAAACCACGCCCACCTCCGCACAGAGCCCCGCCCACCTCCGCACAGGCCCCGCCCACCTCCGTACAAACCACGCCCACCTCCGCAGAGCCCCGCCCACTCTCCCGCCCCGCCCCCAAGGGCGGCACCACCCCTCCGCCCCCACCAGAGGGCGCCACTCTCGCCCTTAGAAACCCCCCAAAAAATTCATTTTTCGTCACCATTTATCCAATTTTATTAATTCCAGTGGCACTAATACAGGCGGCGATGGGCACGACGGACAGTCACGCTGCAGATAAGGCATCCTCACCCTGTCTCCTGTCTCTTTTTCCCCCATTTTCCTTGACCTCTTTAAGCACGCCCCACTCCCTTCCAGGCCCTTCTGCAGCTTTTTTTTTTTTTTTTTTTTTGAGTCAAATAAATACAGAATTGGGCAGATCTAGTGGAAATGTTTTAGTTACAATGGCAAAGATGAGTCATGTGCAACACAGAAACCTATAAGGCTTTTTTTTTTGTTTGTTTGTTTTCCTCATTTGAAGTTCTCAAAATTGCTATGAAACCCATTTAATTAACAAGATGGTGGTCAAGGGCGTCTACCCCTGGCGGCATGGGTGATAACGCTAATTAATTAAATTTTTCCTGCTCTCCCAGAGTTCCATGAGTCTCATTAGAGTTTGTCCAGGAAGTTGTCGAGGGCAGGGATTCCTTCCTTCAGCCCTTTGCGTTTGCGGGTCTCGGCCACCACCTGGCACGGCCGGCTGGCGCTGTCGAAGGGGTCCCCGGGCAGGATCTGCCAGTGGTCGAACACGCACTGGGGGAAGGCCTGGCCCCCCGTGTTGGACCTCAAATCTGCTGTGAAACCTGCGAGGGACGAGACAAAATGTGAGGTAGGACAGGAGTGGTCGTGGTTCAACGTCATTTCCATGGATAGAGCAGAGGAACCCAGAGCAGCTCGCAAAAGCCTCCCGAGATCCCACCCAGTGTGAGGTGGGAACGGAAAAAAGGCTCCAGGAAGAACTTAAGAAATCCTTCCAGTGCCGAAAACTGGAGAGGGACTTTGGACAAACATATGGAAGGACAGGACAGGGAATGGCTTCCCATGCCAGGTGGGATATTGGGAAGGAATTCTGCCCTGGGAGGGTGGGGAGGGGCTGGGATGGATTTCCCAGAGCAGCTGGGGCTGCCCCTGGAGCCCTGGAAGTGTCCAAGGCGAGGCTGGAGCAGCCTGGGACAGTGGAAAGTGTCCCTGCCATGGCAGAGGTGGCACTGGAAGACCCTGACTTCCAACCCAAAACGTTCTGCAACTTTGGTCTCTTCTTCCAGGCAACAAGTGAGAAGAAACGCCCCTAAGCTGTACCAAGAGAGGGCTGGAGATTTCTAGGAAAGTTTATTCTCCAGAAGGATAGTCCAGGACTGGCACAGCTGCCCAGGGCAGTGCTGGTGTCCCCCTCCTTCCTGGAGGGCTTTCAAAGCCTCTGAAGTGTGGACGTGGCACTTGGGGACATGGTTCAGTGTCACACAGTGCTGGGTGAACAGCTCAACCCAAGGATCCCTTGAGGTCCTTGCCAAGGCTCTCCCTGCCAGGAGGCTCCAGGACTCACCGAAGGACTCGTTGACAGGCAGGTAGGCCTTGACCACGAACATGGGGGTCCCGGCCACCTGGGTCTCCTCAAACACGTGGCCACGCTTCCTGTTCAGCACGCTGTAGATGCCTCCCACCACCTGCTCCGGGCACTGCAGGAGAGACTGGAGTCAGGACTGCGCCCACCCGCCGTCCCCCTTCCCCTGGGGCTGGCAGGGGCTCCTCACCTGGATCTCCACCAGGTAGATGGGCTCCATGAGGCGCGGCTGGGCGGTGAGCACGCAGGCGTAGAGGCAGCGCCGGGCCGTGGGGATGATCTGGCCGCCGCCGCGGTGGATGGCGTCGGCGTGCAGGGTCACGTCGTGCACGTCGAAACGCACGGCGCGCATGTTCTCCTCACACAGCACCCCCTGCCAGGGCACAGCGGGGCCACATGTCACCGCCACGGGCCACTCCGTGTCCCCAGCTGGGGTGCTGCTCACCTGGCTCACAGGAGCTCTGTGGAAGCAGCTCCTTGAGCAGCAAGTGCAAGCGCCCACCCAGGAGTCACTCAGCCACTCGACCTCCTTGCTGAGGGATGAGCCTCCAAACCCACAAAGGCTGGACTCTGGGAGGTCTTTCCCAACCTAAGGGTTCTGTGGAGCACCAGCTCCCACCCCTGTGCCACCACTGCAGCATCCTCGTCATCAGCTCTGAGGTTCAAGCCACAACAGCTGTCACACATTTATGGTGCTGAAACCCAAGTATTTGGCCAAGGGAAATGGGGATTTTTTTGTCTTGGTAATATCACAGAAGTTGTTGGCTTGGAATAACCTTTAGACCGAAACTAGGTGGTATACAGGAAAATGAATTCATCCTCTTGCTGTTCCCAGTCTGTCATCTTACCCTGCAGTCCTCTCCTGTCTAATCCTGAAAATAATTGGTAGGTAAGACCAGATCCCTGTCGAGGCCCTCAGACCACTTTTCCTCTTGACGTTATTCCCTGAACTGTTAAGATGCTGCATTTTGCCCCATGATAAGCATAACAAAAGTACAGATGTGAGGAACCATGGACGCCACCCAGACCGCGCCGCCGTCCCGTCCCTCACCTCCTTGGTGGCCCACTGGAAGCCGGCCACCACGCTGTCCTTGATCTCGTTGAGGTACTGCACTCCCTTGGTGATGTCGGTGAGGATGTTGGGGCCGGTGCCGTCGGGCCCAAAGCACCAGATCTTCCTGGCCTCGGTGACGTCCCACTCGTACTTCTCGGCCAGGTACCGCGCCCGCTGCTTCAGCTCCTGCCGGGCCGACACCTCGCCCTTGTCGATGTCCTCGGCCAGGCCCTCAGGGAAGGGCCGGGCCTTCATGTACAGCCGGTTGTGTTTGTTGGGGGACTTGGAAAGGCACATCACGTTGGACTCCTCGCTGACCGTCTCGCGGTAGGACACCACGGGATCGGATTTCTGCAGGGACAGAGCGGGCTGTGAGGCACCAAAGCGGCCAAAGCCCCACCACCAGCTCAGCCAGCACGCAGCCTCTCTACCTTAATGGGGATGCAGGCGTGGTCCTCCTCCAGGTCCTTCAGGCAGATCTCCAGGTGCAGCTCCCCAGCGCCAGCGATGATGTGCTCCCCAGACTCCTCAATGATGCACTGGGAACACCAGGAACAGCAGGTGAAGCTTCAGAACGAGCCACATGCACAAGCAACTTTCTGTGTTTTTAGTGCTTGACCCAAAGAGCTACTTCTAGATGTTCTCCCCAATCATCCCCTCTGTGTTTTTTGTGTTTGAAAAAAAAAACCCACTTAAGTGACCCAAAACGCTTTTGCTGCCCAAATGCCCGAGGAGGAGCCACGGCCAAGGCAGCGCTGAAGGATCCCGAGGCAGCTACTTCAAGATGTTCTCCCCACTCATCTGGGGGTGTCACAGCACCAAGCCAGGACGCAAGGCAGGGACCAACACTCAACTCAAGGCTTCCCCAGGACTGGAAGCAGCACCCCTGGGTCCATGCTGCCCACTCACCTGCACCATGGGGTCAGACTTGGCCAGGCGCTTCAGCCCCTCCACCAGCTTGGGCAGGTCGGCCGGGTTCTTGGCCTCCACGGCCACGCGCACCACGGGGCTGACGCTGAACTTCATCACCCTCATGTTGTGGGCGTGCTCAAAGGTGGTGATGGTTCCAGTCTTCACAAGGAACTGGTCCACGCCGACCAGCCCCACGATGTTCCCGCAAGGCACGTCCTCGATGGGCTCCACGTAGCGGCCCATCATGAGGATGGTCCTAAAGGGAAAGGTGGATTAGTGAGGTTGGGAAGGGGAGGAGACCCCACTCAGCCCATAGCCAAGAACCTTGACAAGCCTCAGACATGAGAAGAGACCTGAGACAGCATCAGAATCCCTCAACAGCCCAGCCAGGACACACCTTTGAATCGGCTTCAGGTACAGATCCTCCTTCTTGCCAGGTGTGTAGTTTGGTCCCATGATTCTGACTTTCAAGCCAGTTGAGACGAGACCAGAGAAGACACGGCCAAAAGCGTAGAAACGTCCCTTGTCAGAGGTTGGCACCATTTTGGAGATGTACATCATCAGGGGGCCTTTGGGGTCACAGTTCTTAATGCCTGGGAGGGGGAGAGACCAGCTTAGCACAGAGGTATTGATGTATCTGGCACCCACCCCAAAACCCCAACTCCAAGACCTGCACCCACTGTCCCAGCCCAAGGGCTTCTGTCTGGGCAAGAGAAAATGGTGAACGGCTTCCCACTGCCAGAGGGCAGGGATGGATGGGAGATTGGGAAGGGATTGTTCCCTGGGAGGAAGGTGAGGCCTTGGCACAGGGTGCCCAGAGCAGCTGTGGCTGCCCCTGGATCCCTGGCAGTGCCCAAGGCCAGGCTGGATGGGCTTGGAGCAGCCTGGGACAGTGAAAGATGTCCCTGCCAGGTCAGGAGATGGGGCTGACTTTCAAGATCCAACGTGGAGAACAAACTGGTTACAGGCGTGCTGGAGCTGAGGCCTGGCAGCAGAGCAGCTCATCCTACCTATGGCAGCCTCATCGTCAGGGGGGCCCTCGTAGAGCAGCTCGCAGCGATACTTCTGGGCTGTGACGGGGGAAGGCAGGTGGATGGTGATCATCTGCAGCAGGGCATCTCCAGCTGGCAGCCACCGCCTCATCACGGCCTGGGCACAGCAGCAGGACCCAGTCAGAGTGTTCACAACAGGGGTTGTGCACCTCCCTGTCCTTCCCCACCTCCCAAGAGCACCTCCCCACCTCCCAGGCAGGTAGATGTTGACACAGCTGGAGCAGCACAACTGCTCAGCTGCTCCCCAGAGGACTCAGACCAGTCTCACCTTCAGCAGGGGCTTGCCCTCCTTGTCCTTGTCCTCACTGTCCAGCTTGATGTCCAGTTTCTCAATCAGTTTAGCCGCCTCTTCTTTCTTGAAGTTCATGATTGCATCGAAAACCTGCGACAAGAGCAGCCGTTGGAGCGCTGCCGTGACCCCGTCTGGAGCAACTGCACCA